CGATTCGATTTCGACTTCTAGTCGGCTCCGTGTCGATGCGGCCCGATCGACGCACATTCCGATTCGATCCGATTTCTCGATTCGATGCTGCTTGATCCTGCTCTTCCGTCAGAGGATACCAAGTGTGGCGACGATCGTGGTGTGACGAGAAACACTTATTGACTGCCAGCGAAGCCGTCGACAGTTCGCTGTTGGCAGAGTTCGTGCCCGGTGTTGCTGGGTGTTGCAATTGCTGGCAGCTCTCAACAGTTGTCAGCAGATGCAGCTTCTCCTCCCGCTATTCTCACCCCTTTTTTGTTCCGTCCAATTCTGGCCTTCCTGTCCCTCCGGCCCCGCTTCCCGACCCACGATTTTACGCAAGCCGCGGCGCCACCACCAAGTCCCTTCCGTGTGTTGCCGGATGTCACCGAGCGCGTTCCACTACTCGCAAGGTGTCTACTCGCAGACGTCAGAAAAGGACATGTCTGCACCGATGTCATGTGTCGCATGCCCCCCACGGCGCATCCAGGCCATGTGCGAGTTTTTTTTGTTTTTTTTTTTTGCGAGCAGCGGAGCGCGCTCGTCTAGGATGGCTTCCTCTCCTTCCTCTCTGCTGCTGCTGCTGCTGCTGCTGCTGCTGCTGCTGCTGCTGCTGCTGCTGCTCCTCCTCCTCCTCCTCCTCCTCCTCCTCCTCCTCCTCCTCCTCCTCCTCACTCCTCCCTCCCTCCTCCTCCCTTCTCCCTCCTCCTCCTCCTCCTCCTCCTCCTCCTCCTCCTCCTCTGTTTCCGCTCCTGCCGCTCTCCCTGCCCCTCCTGCCCCTACAAGTGTTGATAGCAGAGCGCACAACCACACGACATGCAGGTACGTCAGCGATAGCTCGTTCCAGAAGTAAGCAGAAAGAACGGTCGAACTTACTTGTTTTTGAGCTAGTATTTCAAATGTGTCTGAAAAGAGAAGCGAATCTGTGAATAGTTTGTGTTTCTAAATTCGTGACCCTCCTCCTCCTCCTCCTCCTCCTCCTCCTCCTCCCCCTCCTCCTCCTCTCCTCCTCCTCTCACTCCTCCCTCCTCCTTTCCTCCCAGCTCTGCTTTCGAGTAGACTGCCGACTCCCCCTGCCGCTCTCCCTGCCCCTCCTGCCCCGCTCCCCGACGCACGGCCCTGCGCCTGCCGCCGCCGCGGCGCCGACGTCGCGTGCCTCGAGGGCCCGTCCCCCGCGGGACCGGCCCGCGCAGCGTCCGGTGTCCGGGGCTCCGGCTCCTCCACCGCTTCCTGCTCCTGCTGCTGCTCCTCCTCCTCCTCCTCCTCCTCCTCCTCCTCCTCCTACCTCCACGCCTTTTTCCTCCTCCTCCTCCCTCCTCCTCCGCCTTCCTCTCCTCCTCCTCGCCTCCTCTCCTCCTCCTCCTCCTCCTCCGTATCCTCCTCGCCTCCTCCTCCTCCTCTCTCGGCGCGAAGGGTGACTATCCATGCACCGATCCTGGCAAGGCCCACCCCTGACCCAGGAGGGGTGCATATACCTTCCTA